AGGTCCAGTGGGCTGCTGTATTGCCTCTGAATCTTGGATATAGAACCAGGCCAAGCTATATTCAGTAGGTTTGGTGTGGAAGTCTTTTCTTAATTGGAACTGAACTGAAAGAATTAGTCATCTGTGAACGTAACAGGCAGGTCACTAGAACTTACTCTTTAAGTCCTGACCAAGCTATTCCTGTCAAAACCAGAAATGCATTTTCAGTGGGCAAGTCCTCATGATCCTAATTCCATCATGTTTCCTTCATAATCATATGAGACCTTGGCTCCTTTCAGCCAGGTGTCTCAAGCTACATTTCCAAAGTGTAATTCTTTCGTGACCATCTTGTGGTCACTGGCTAATCAAGAACTGACACTGGGTCATATGTATCTTAATTGGCTCTTTACCTGCATCTTGAATCTCCTTTGGAAAGTCTAAAGGCTGAGAGAGAGATGGTCTGCATAGTTGAGCTAAATTCAGCAGCCTGAGCTGACAGACCAGTAGAACCTCAATAACCACTTTGTCATCTGTCTCTTAAAACTGGAGTGGAGTTCTTGACTTTGGGTTAGCCTGATTCATGTAATAAAATAGCCATGGGCACCGTGTGTGGTCCTTGTACAACTGCTACATACAGTGCTTGGGTTTACCAGAAGACATAACGGCATCATGCAACTCAGGGATTGAGAGTTGCAGTGCTAGCTCAAGATTGTGGGTTTCATAGCAAAGAGGCCAGTGACACCTCTGAAGCTTGCAGAGTCCCAAGTCCTGAAGACCCATGCCTGGCCCTCAAGGAAGTTGTCCCAGTCAGAGATTCTCTTTGACTGTTCTGTGCAGGGCTGCTTTTACTCTGATTTACCAATATTTCTGGATGTGCTAACTGAAGTAACAGCAGAACCCTGTTTCTCCTAGTTTAAAGGGCCCCCTGCAAGCACTCTAGACCAATTCATATTGGTGGCGTGGGGTGGAGGGAGGCACATACAGTAGTTAGCTTTTTATCAATATTTAGATAGTAAGAAGGGTGACCTAAAAACTTAGAACCATAGCATTTTCAAGATGTGACTCAAGTGGTTAGACCAGTGTTTCTCAACCTTGGCAACTTTAAGATGTCTGGACTTCAACTCCAGACTTCAAGTCCAGACATCTTAAAGTTGCCAAGGTTGAGAAACACTGGGTTAGACAATGTGGAATCTGTTTTGCAAGAATACCTGCTTTGGAGCACTTCCCACATGCCCAACATCAG